GTCTCGTCCCGCAAGTCTCTCGTGGCTAGGCGGTCGTGTGTGCCAAGTTTCGTGCCAATCCGACCCCATTTGCTGATTTTGAGGTGTCAACACCTCGAATTTAAGTTTCTTAAGGAACTAGTTTGCCTAAACCGAAATACGGCTCTATCTCCCAAACCGGGAAACCGATTGGAGTCCCGTCATCTCCCACAAGTCTATCGTGGCTAGGCGGTCGTGTGTGCCAAATTTCTTGCCAATCCGACCCCATTTGGTGATTTTGGGGTGTCAACACCTCGAATTTAAGTTTCTTAAGGAACTAGTTTGCCTAAACCGAAATATGGCTCTAACTCCCAAACCGGGAAACCGATTGGAGTCCCGTCTTCTCCCACATGTCTCTCGTGCCTAGCCGGTCGTGTGTGCCAAGTTTCGTGCCAATCCGATCCCATTTTGTGATTTTGGGGTGTTAACACCTCGAATTTAAGTTTATTAAAGAACTAGTTTGCCTAAACCGAAATATGGCACTAACTCCCAAACCGGGAAACCGATTGGAGTCCCGTCTTCTCCCACAAGTCTCTCGTGCCTAGGTGGTCGTGTGTGCCAAGTTTCGTGCCAATCCGACCACATTTGGTGATTTTGGGGTGTCAACACATCGAATTTAAGTTTCTTAAGGAACTAGTTTGCTTAAACCGAAATATGGCTCTAACTCCCAAACTGGGAACCTGATTCGAGTCCTGTCTGCTGCCACAACTCTCTCGTGGCTAGGCGGTCGTGTGTGAAAAGTTTCGTGCCAATCCGACCCCATTTGGTGATTTTGGGGTGTCAACACCACGAATTTAAGTTTCTTAAGGAACTAGTTTGCCTAAACCGAAATATGGCTCTAACTCCCAAACCGGGAACCCGATTCGAGTCCCGTCTTCTCCCACAACTCTCTCGTGGCTAGGCGGTCGTGTGTTCCAAATTTCGTGCCAATCCGACCTCATTTGGTGATTTTGGGGTGTCAACACCTCGAATTTAAGTTTCTTAAGGAACTAGTTTGCGTAAACCGAAATATGGCTCTAACTCCCAAACCGGGAACCCGATTCGAGTCCCGTCTTCTCCCACAACTCTCTCGTGCCTAGGCGGTCGAGTGTGCCAATTTTCATGCCAATCCGACCCCATTCGGTGATTTTGGGGTGTCAACACCTCGAATTTAAGTTTCTTAAGGAGCTAGTTTGCCTAAACCGAAATATGGCTCTGACTCCCAAACCGGGAAACCGATTGGAGTCCTGTCTTCTCCCACAAGTCTCTCGTGGCTAGGTGGTCGTGTGTGCCAAGTTTCGTGCCAATCCGACCCCATTTGCTGATTTTGGGGTGTTAACACCTCGAATTTAAGTTTCTTAAGGAGCTAGTTTGTCTAAACCAAAATATGGCTCTGACTCCCAAACCGGGAAACCGATTGGAGTCCCGTCTTCTCCCACAAGTCTCTCGTGCCTAGGTGGTTGTGTGTGCCAAGTTTCGTATCAATCCGACCCAATTTGGTGATTTTGGGGTGTCAACACCCCGAATTTAAGTTTCTTAAGGAACTAGTTTGCCTAAACCGAAATATAGCTCTAACTCCCAAACTGGGAAACCGATTGGAGTCCCGTCATCTCCCACAAGTCTATCGTGCCTAGACGGTCGTGTGTGCCAAGTTTCGTGCCAATCCGACCCCATTTGGTGATTTTGGGGTGTCAACACCTCGAATTTAAGTTTCTTAAGGAACTAGTTTGCCTAAACCGAAATATGGCTCTAACTCCCAAACCGGGAAACCGATTGGAGTCCCGTTTTCTCCCACAAGTCTCTCGTGCCTAGGGGGTCGTGTGTGCCAAGTTTCTTGCCAATCCGACCCCATTTGGTGATTTTTGGGTGTTAACACCTCGAATTTAAGTTTCTTAAGGAACTAGTTTGCCTAAACCGAAGTATGGCTCTAACTCCCAAACCGGGAAACCGATTGGAGTCCCATCTTCTCCCACAAGTCTCTCGTGCCTAGGTGGTCGTGTGTGCCATGTTTCGTGCCAATCCGACCCCATTTGGTGATTTTGGGGTGTCAACACCTCGAATTTAAGTTTCTTAAGAAACTAGTTTGCGTAAACCGAAATATGGCTCTAACTCCCAAACCGGGAGCCCGATTCGAGTCCCGTCTTCTCCCACAACTCTCTCGTGCCTAGGCGGTCGAGTGTGCCAAGTTTCATGCCAATCCGACCCCATTTGGTGATTTTGGGGTGTCAACACCTCGAATTTAAGTTTCTTAAGGAACTAGTTTGCGTAAACCGAAATATGGCTCTAACTTCCAAACTGGGAAACCGATTGGAGTCCCGTCTTCTCCCACATGTCCCTCGTGCCTAGGTGGTTGTGTGTGCCAAGTTTCGTGTCAATCCGACCCCATTTGGTGATTTTGGGGTGTTAACACCTCGAATTTAAGTTTCTTAAAGATCTAGTTTGCCTAAACCGAAATACGGCTCTAACTCCCAAACCGGGAAACCGATTGGAGTCCCGTCTTCTCCCACAAGTCTCTTGTGCCTAGGTGGTCGTGTGTACCATGTTTCGTGCCAATCCGACCCCATTTGGTGATTTTGGGGTGTCAACACCTCGAATTTAAGTTTCTTAAGGAACTAGTGTGCCTAAACCGAAATATGGCTCTAACTCCCAAACCGGGAACCCGATTCGAGTCTCGTCTTCTCCCACAACTCTCTCGTGGCTAGGCGGTCGTGTGTGCCAAGTTTCGTGCCAATCCGACCCATTTGGTGATTTTGGGGTGTCAATACCTCGAATTTAAGTTTCTTAAGGAACTAGTTTGCCTAAACCGAAATATGGCTCTAACTCCCAAACCGGGAAACCGATTGGAGTCCCGTCTTCCCACACGAGTCTCTCGTGGCTAGGCGGTCGTGTGTGCCAAGTTTCGTGCCAATCCGACCCCATTTGGTGATTTTGGGGTGTTAACACCTCGAATTTAAGTTTCTTCAGGAATTAGTTTGCCTAAACCGAAATATGGCTCTAACTCCCAAACCGGGAACCGGATTCGAGTCACGTCTTCTCCCACAAGTCTCTCGTGGCTAGGCGGTCGTGTGTGCCAAGTTTCGTGCCAATCCGACCCCATTTGGTGATTTTGGGGTGTTAATACCTCGAATTTAAACTTCTTAAAGAACTAGTTTGCCTAAACCGAAATATGGCTCTAACTCCCAAACTGGGAAACCGGTTGGAGTCTCGTCTTCTCCCACAAGTCTCTCGTGCCTAGGTGGTCGTGTGTGCCAAGTTTCGTGCCAATCCGACCCCTTTTGGTGATTTTGGGACGTTAACACCTCGAATTCAATTTTTTTAAAGAAATAGTTTGCCTAGAGTGAAATCCATCTTTAACTCCTAATCCGGGAACCCAATTTGAGTCCCGTCTTCTCTCACAACTCTATTAGCTTAGAATGCAAAGAATGCAAATATACATTTTAGCTTAGAATGTAAAGTTACATTTTATACCTGATCTTCTGGTGGTGGTGTATATGGATTCTCGTCTTCTGCAGATTCCCTAAATGCCCGGTGGCCACTCGATGCATCAGGAGCCTATGATAGTCAACGCATAATGTGTTAATCTTTTATACATAATGTTGTGTGACAATTTAACTATCAAACAATTTAATTTATATCGAACCTGTCTGTTAGGATCCACACTTGCCCCCTGTGACACAAACGCCATCATCTCAGCTCTCAGCTGCTGTAAATGTGTAGAGAACTCTGCTCTCATCTCCTCCCTCAGCTCCTTCCTCAACTCATCCTTTAGCTCCGCACGAACCTATTGGGTGATCTGAACAATAGTCGATGGCTGGGGTGCTGACTATGATGGCCCTGCACCATCTTTATACACTGCTCTCCGAGGCACAGTTCTCCCGTATGTGCGACAATATCCATGATTGTCATGACCTATCAACTCATGGAAAATGGCATTCCTAGCCTCCAAAGTCCGACAATCCTCAGGTAGCATAGAGAGTTGGCCATTAAACTCATCCTGTATTGAATAAGAAATACAAGTATATGCCAAATTAAGATAGTTAACACAAAAAATAAAAAATAAACTTTAAATACAATCAAAGGTGTTTGGAAACTACCAAGGTCTGAATAACCTCTGGGTCATCTGCTCTACGTGTCATAAGCCAAACATTCATCTTATCAGTAGACTCCCCCTTACTGGTCATCTAAATTTTTTTTAGAACGCTTCTGACCTTTATATTGAGATTTTTTCACAAAATTTTCGTACATAAAAATATAATTTTTTGTAGTCACTTCATTTTCAATAAAATAATCACTATTGTTCTCATAAATTTAGAAATGTCATTGACATTTTATTCTAAATATTATTTTTATTTAAAATTTTATTTATATACAAAAATAAAACAATAAAATATAAACCTCATGCCGTATCTGAGCGAAAGTAGTACGCCCTGTGGTATGAGCTATGCCGTGAGCTCGCCGATTTTTAGCGTTCCTAGTTGCAATTTTCTATAATAGGTTCAACAAATGTAAGTATATAAATATGATTTATATGTTTACATATCATACATATAACTTATTTGTATACCTCAGCATCGGAAGTACGCCAATACTCCAAAAGTTCTTCCCACTGGCTTGGCACAATGTGCAAAGGAACATCATCCTTCATATTAGGATCTTCACTTCTAGGATTGAAATACTTACACTTAATCTTATTCTTGTGATCCTTCCATATGCTGTTACAGTTTTTCATGCAGATTGGCTTGTACTCCTCTGGACATATATTCAAATTGTCCTATAAAACACAATTTCAAGGTTTAAATAATAATAACACAATTTTGGAATTTAAATTTTTTGACAAAAATATACTTTTACCTTCACATCCTTCCAGATAGCATCAAGAATATCATCAGGCACAGTGTTCCAGTCAAGAAAAGTAAGAGGAACAATGTTACCATTTCGCACAATAATGCCAAGTTGAGTAGTTAACTTAGACACGTTATCCCCTATTGGACAGAAATTTTCATCAAATTGTATGTCCAATTTGGTACCGGTACCCCACTCCCTAATGCCCTTGGCACATCCTCTACCACGCCTACTCGAGGTTGATGAAGAATTAACATGACCTGTGAGATACAATAAGAATAATCAATATGCAATCATAATAAACAAATGCAAATTTAAATAATGTCAATACAAATCAATTTCTTATACCTGAGTGAGGCTGTGAAGAAGTCGAAGGATCTGAAAAATACAATGAAAATAAACAAGTTATATGTAATGAGAACAAATAAATATATATTTAAATAATTTTCATACAAATCAAAGCAAATTTATATACCTGCGGATGGCTCATAAGCCGATGACTCTAGTCGGGATGATAGCTGCTGCGGTGCCACTGATGGTGGACGCACCGATGGTAGGCCTAGAGGCTGAGTAGCTGATAGCTGGTGTGGTGCCACTGATAGGGGTCAATGCGGTGGCACTAATGGTCCCTCTGATGGTGCTCGCTGTGATGCCTCCTCTAATGGTAGTGCCACTGATGGTGGACGTAGCAATGGTAGGCATGGTGGCTGAGTAGATGATAGCTGTTGTGGTGCCACTAATGGTGGTCGATGCGGTAGCACTAATGGTGCTCGTTGTGATGCCTCCTCTGATGGTGGTGCCGCTGATGTCCTCTTACGTACCACTGCGGTGGCACTATTGGTGCTCGCTGTGATGCCTCCTCTAATAGTGGCACTAATGGCACTTCTGATGGTGGTCGATGTGATGCCTCCTCTGATGGTGGTGCCGATGATGTCCTCTTACGTACCACGTCGGACATCATGCGCCGGGGATGATCAGGTTTCCTCTTCCTTCCCATAATAATCTACAAGCAATATAACATTAATTAGAAACATAGATAATGGTTTGTCATCAACCATAATATGACATTAATTGAACTAATACAATTACAAACACAAAGTAAATTAAGAAACTGATGATTAACTACAACCTTGGCCTTAAGTGAATTATTGATGTTGATTAAATATCAACCTATTTGAACATCAACTATTTCCCCTTCTGCGGCTTCCCTCACCCAACCAACTTCTTCATCACGAAGCATTATATTTTCTTCCAATTGTTGGCTCATATATGGCTCAATTTGTGGATCAGTCGAACTCATATCAAATAAACCTCTTTGAGACATCTTCACCGCCACTTGCCAGTCTGGTTGTAACGGGTCTGCAACATACCAAACTTGCTCTGCTTGGGATGCCAAGATGAAAGGTTCATTAGCAATTCTATCATCTCGATACAACAAATGATTGAAGTTGACTAACGTGAAATTGAAGACATCTTGTATCTTCCCGTGAATGTTGTCAATCCAATCATACTTAAACAACACATGCTTCTTCTCATTGGAATATCGAATCTCAACAATATCTGTCAATTGTCCATAATAGTACACAGACCCCACACGAGGATTCTTGTCTTTCCGACTAGCATAACTTATAGTATCTGCCTTCAAAGCTACACCACAATGTTGTGTGGCTCGACGGTCATCCATGGCCTTTACTCGATACCGAAACCCATTCATTATATACCCGTTGAACCTCCTTGCCAGGTTATGAGGACCATTTGCCAATACAGTAATCTCTTCAGAAAATGTGACATCATTAGTCCTTCGCAACGTTTGAACCTATTTTAAATAATAAAAATTATAAAATTTAAAATATAGTTTGACTTAGGTAAATAGAATCTATACATTTAAATACATACATGTTCCTTGAACCAAATGTGAAAAGTTTCAAAATGTTCACGCCGAAGCTGATGATCGTCAACACGAGGCATTTTGACCTTAAGTTCTTCAAGGTGTTTGCTGTGTAAATTGAAATTTTATCAAAAAACAACATTTGGTTCAAAATTCAATGAAACATAATAAAATATTGAATGAGTGACATAACTTACTTTATGAATGGTTGAACCGCGGCTGTATTGAATAAGACATACCGATGAGTTTGTACCCAAGAAATGTTATTAAGATAAAAGCTTGTGATTTCACCAACAGCACGACCCAGATTATCATCACCACTGTAGTTCCTCGTGGGTCGATTAGATTTAGTTTCTACATCATTGAGATATTGTGCACAAAAATTCATGCATTCTTCCATAAGATATCCTTTAGCAATTGAACCTTCTGGACGAGCTCTATTACGCACATATTGCTTCAAAGTAAGAAGATACCTCTCAATTGGATACATCCATCGAAACTGAATCGCTCCACCCAATAATGCTTCGTCAACTAGATGTATAGGCAAGTGCTCCATTATATCAAAAAAAGTAGGAGGAAATATTTTCTCTAGATGACAAAGTGTTATGGCGATACGATCTTGAATATATTGCAAATCTGTCGCACGATTGACTTTGGAACACAATTGTCTAAAGAAATTGCTCAATTCAATCAAAGGTTCAATTACATTCTTCGGTAACGATCTTCGAATGGCCAATGGAATTAGTTGTTCCATCAGAATATGACTATCGTGGCTCTTAAGACCCCCAATACTTCTATCATGTAAGCGCACACAACGCGATATATTGGATGAATAACCGTCGGGAACTCTAACTTCCTTCAATACTTTCAAGAACAAATCTTTCTCATCCTTGGTCATCGTGAATTGTGCCGGTGGTAAATAAGCTTTATTTGACCCTCTTAATTGCAAATGTAAGGGTTTTCTAATATTCATTTCTTGTAAATCACGCCAAGCATTAACACCATCCTTCGATTTTCCTGCAACCCCTAATATTGTCCACAATACATTATCACAAACATTCTTCTCTATATGCATCACATCAAGGTTATGTCTAATTAGATTGTGCTCCCAATATGGCAGTTCATAGAAGATACTCTTTTTCTTCCAGCTATGGGTGCGATGTCCAACTTTCTCTTTTGAATTTACAATTTTCGGTTGCAGATTTCACTCCTTCTCCGACAGACGCATCTCCTACTTGGCACCTGTTCTAGATAACGGTTTTCTATTTCCGGAATAGGCACTTCTCAGCCTATATATATCAGTTCTCCATTCCTTTGAATTAGTACCTTGAAAAAACCCGAAACTGTATTCTCCTTTCTCTGGTTTTGTTCTTCTTCATTTTTGCATCTTGTGTGAGTTCGGAAAATAAAAAACATTCTGGTTCGCTGTACAAACAAGGTTGCAGTGCTGCATTTGTTTGGGGTGATTGTTGAATCCTGGAGGCAGGACGTCCATTATTCTCGAGCACCTAGGAGAGGACGAATTTCTGTCTTAAAGACACAGTGTCCATACACTGGCCTCAATCACAAATTTGTTCTTAGTTTGATTTTTCAAGAAAGTTGTAAGTTCTGTATTTTATTTATTATTCTGTTAAGGGAAAAACTACTTGATCTGTTTCTGTGTATTATTCTGTCTGTATGTTATATCTGTTTTTAATATTCTGTAAATTACATATACTTGGAGAGAAAGGTTTCCAACAGATAGCACCCTGCCATCCACATTGTGAGATTAGAAGGAATCCACCTCCTTATATTTATATTTATAAAAAATAAAAAAAAAATCTTTTAGTATTTATTTATATTTTCAAAAAATTGTAATAAGTGTATTTATTTAAAATTTGTAATCACAAAAAAAATTGAGTTCACTTGTTTTAAAAAATATATATATTATTTTCTCATTCTTCCATCCTCTCCAGCCAACACCCACCAATCACTAATCATTATCACTAGAGACTATCCTCATCTTTGTGACAGTTCTAAGAGAAAATACGAAATTTTTACTAGGCGGATGTGTCGAGGTTGTCGCCCACATAGGTGGGGGAGAGTGTCACATTTTGCTGAATTTTCTACAACAAAGACCCCATTAAAATGAAGATTGGAGGAATGGAAGCCAATAGAATATTCTAAGACCTATTAGAGAAATTGAGAAAGTGAAGGACTCGTAAATGATTTTAAGAATGTGTACATAGTTGTATCGATAGTTCTAGAGAGTAGTTTAGAACATTCTTGTAAGGTTGTGGAAAGTTTCCACGAAGCTTCTACACACCTTCTATCATGTATATTTTAGAAACTTCCTAGAAGGCCAATGTTGCCCATAAATAAGAGAGGAGTTCATTTGCTCCGAACTAGGGGTGAACAGCGGATATATTGATCCACCAAAACCGATCGAACCGAACCGATCCGCCGCATTTTGAACGGATGCGTAATGACGAGCGGATGGATGCGAATTGATTTTCTCCAATCCGCCAATCTGGCGGACGGATGGCGGATTTGAGATTCCTTTGGCCGCAACCGAACTGCCAAACCGCGAGCACCCCTAGTAATTTATAAGACTTTGTGTTTTCAGTTTGTTTAAATATTTTGTTTGTGTTTTCAATTAAAAAAGAGTTTAAATTTTCTGTTGAAAAAAAGTTTTCAACTTAAATATCTTTTTTGAATTGAAAAAAATAAACGTATCATTTATCTATATTTTTTGATTTTTAAATCTATCTCTAAAAATAATAAATAGAAAATATGATATATGCTAGTTGGTTTTTGTTTTCAAAAACAGATACAGATATAACAATACAAAGACACATAATCTCTACTACTGCTCTGTTTATGGTTTTGGTGGTTTGAATTGTTTTTATATTTTAAGAGCCACATATTGTAATACTTTATGTGGATGAGACATGCTGTGATTGTGATATTCTAAAGTTTCAAACTTTCTTGCTTTGGATGAGGCATGCGGTGATTTTAATTTTTTTTAAGTCATTGACTGTAATACTTTCTTTTTCTTTTTTTAAGGAAGTGCGCAAGTTGAATTATGTTAAAAATTTATAAAATTTGAAACTGCCAACACGTTCGAGTGGCAACACGTTCCTTGCCATGTGGTGAACAAGAATATATACTCAGGTGGTCGAAACCATTTACGAGTGAATGAGAAATTGATACCGTAGTGAGCCTCATAAACATGAAATGTTTCTTGTGGTTCCCATGAGTTGGTATCTAAAACCTTATCCCACATAGGAAACTTAGAATAGTTTCAAAATGTTTATAAGCTCTAAGTTGGAGACCTTGGGTTGGGCCCCAAGGGGTACCCAAGTTTTGTAGGAGGAGGAGTTATGAACAAACCCAAAACCATCACCACACGCGCGCACCGCCGCCGCCGTCCGTCCGGCCGGGGCGGGGTGGGCGCGGGTATGGGTTTGGGTTTTACCCGTTCTTTATTTTGCTCCAAAGTTATTTGAATTTTTTCAAATAATGTTCTGCGGGATAAAAACAAAATTCAAAAATCTGAAATTTTGAATTTACAATTTTCGGTTGCAGATTTCACTCCTTCTCCGACAGACGCATCTCCTACTTGGCACCTGTTCTAGATAACGGTTTTCTATTTCCGGAATAGGCACTTCTCAGCCTATATATATCAGTTCTCCATTCCTTTGAATTAGTACCTTGAAAAAACCCGAAACTGTATTCTCCTTTCTCTGGT